GAGTCTGTTCAGTGACAGGTTGCTTCTCCCAAAGACAAGAACCAACAGACTTAAAAACTCCTTTGTCCCACACGCCATCAGACTGTTTAACGCCTCTCTGGAGGGGAGAGGGAGGCAGGAGGACAAAGGAGGGGGGAACAACTAAGCTGTAGTGCCTCTTCACTTCACTGTGCAGTTACCTTTTGTGCAATACTTTGTTAATAGTCAACAGTGCAATAGACGTGCAATTTCACTTGTATTTTTATTTTTATTCCTATTTATTCTATTTATCCCCTTTGTATATTTATTTATATATGTCTCTGTATTTATATATGTGTATATATATATAATATTCTGTAACTCTTTAACTTCTGTCGGTGCTGTGCTTTTTTGGAAACCGAAGAGGAACCCACCCGAGGGATTAATAAAGTTTTATCTTATCTTATCTTATCTCTCTCTATATACACCTCTTTGCATTTTGAATATTAGTCATTATTAATTTCTGGCTGTCTTTCACAGTGAGGCTTCATTCTGTCTTCCAGTTGGTCACAGTAGATGGCAGACCCTTCCTGACCATGGTACTGCTGGAGGTTTCTCCTGTTAAAAGGGAGGTTTTCCTCAGTCAGAGTATATTACCTGTTTTATTGTGAAGGTCTGCGTCTTATGTCAGTGTATTCAGTTCTCCCTGTTGCATCATGTCAATTAGGTTCAGCCGTGTTTCCCTCTGTGTGACTCCTCTTATGCTCCTCATGGCACTGTCCGTGTTGTCTCCCCGACTCTCCTTGTGTTTCTGCCATACGTTTTAAGGTTTCAGGTTTTCAGTATATGTTATCCTTAGTTTCTGTTTATGCCCTCTCCGCCTCTGTTTGCACCTAACCTCCTGAATAAAACTCCCTGCATTTTGGGTACTCTATAACAACTCCACACCTCTGTCGCCGCAGCTGTGGAAGTACGGACCAGCCACACGTAGAGATGCCTGGCCTGTCGGAGCCACCTCCGAAGAGAAAGCAGAGCTGCGTCGCCAGCACGTCTCTCCACAGCAGGGTTTTGGGACTTCAGAGCAGCAAGATGTGGTGAGTGAAGGAGATACTTTTTCTGTTTTTTCAGACATTGGGACTGTTTATTCTGGGGCTGTTTTTTCGTATGCCTAATGGGAATGGGAATAATGGGAATAACGGTGGCTCCCTGATTTTTACCTATGATCACAGAGACTTCCTTTTCTGAAACCATACCTGAGACTGTCAGCTCTGGCTTTAAAGATTTAAGGATGAATGTCACTTTCATTGCTATGACTGTTTACATTACTGTTTAAGCTGCTGATGTTCTTTGTTGTGATATAAATTTGATAAAATTGTTGATACTGGTACAAACAAGTTACTGTAACTCTTGTAACTTGGTAAAGCTAAAGGGAATGCCATTTGTGATTAATACATTTGGAAAAGAAGTTAATGAGCTCATGTTAAGAACACAAAATGGGAAAAGAAATTGATTGTTCTGCACTGTTTGTGTAGATTGGTTTTTTTGAACTACTAGAAGGATTCTGGAGAACCACTGACGGCGAGAACAGCCCAAATGAGATCCTGGATGATCGTGAAATGGTGTGGCCAGCCATGCGATCGGATTGTGGGATTTGTCTGAGAAACTGATTCAAGCAACCCTGGATTTCAGATAAGCCCTATGCACTACTTTTCCTACCCGGATAATAGGGTTTGCACACTGACAATTCCCCTACAGTACACCTGTTTGGGTTTTCAACGACTTTAAAGGACAATTCAGACTGGACAATTCAAACTTCACAACGGGAACACTTTAATCTGTTTCATTCATTCCAAAGAGCTCTGATACAGTTCAGTATAAATCTTCCATTTAAATGTCTTTATTTTGTTTTGTTTTACATGTATTCACCTTTAAAATGCACTATTAGTGTGCAGTTTGGGTTATTGTGTTGTATATGTATATAAATGGTACTGAGGCAATAAAGGTCACAGTTATTCACTTCCAAGCCAACTCCTTTTGTGAGTCTCCAAAACAAAACCTCCTCCTGAACCTAGTAAGATGTCTAGGGCCTCTATTTGAAGTGAGAGTGTACTGGTCCTGAGTAGAGGCGCTACATAAACAAAAGGCACTTAGACTAAAACTGACATAGCTACGTTTATCCTACCATAAAACAATAAAACAAGGTACGACCTCTCCCATGCTTCCAGGGTGTGAATGCCAGAGCACTCTGGAACGCACACAAAGTCTTTGCAGACTGCTAAAGATCACACATCCTATCACTACACACTCGATTATATACCTCTAAGCATATATGGTTAAATATTTCCCAATACAAATAATAAAATCTAAACCCATCAGACTCCTCATACAAAAACTGCTCGAAGTGGGATTCAAACTTACACCTCTAGGGAAGACTGCGATCTGAACACAGCACCTTGGACCACTCAGCCATCCTGAAACAGAGCTAACAGAACTGATTTTCTGATAAATCCAGAATCCAGTTTAAACTCCTTCCCTTCACATAAAAAGTTTTGAATGAACCTTTGGTCTAACTGTTCTTCACACCTGACTGGTAACAAGATGGCGCTAGTGTGTGTGATTGCTCATCTGTCACTCCCAAGTTTGTTTCTGTTTCTATTATTTCTGACCAAACAAAGTCTCTGCTGAGGTGTAATCGCCAGACATGATGACCACCTTTTATTGAAAAGGTCGGCACCACCAGGCCTCTTATCACAGCTCCTGACCCTGACCTCTCTGTCTCTGGCCCTTGCACTGCTGATTTTACTCTGTCTGAGCTTGTGATTCTCTCCATTTCAGAAGATGCGGGTGTCATATTAACCCCGCAGGTTCCCCCCAGGATCCTTTCCCTCCACAATTTTTAAAAGAAAGTTTTCCTAGTATAGGGCAGTCTGTCCTTGACATTATTAACAGCAGTCTGTCCTGTGGTGTGGTTCCTGCAATTTTCAAACATGCAGTAGTGCAGCCACTGCTTAAGAAACCTGGCCTTGATCACACCGCTTTAGCTAATTATAGACCGATTTCCAAGCTGTATTTTCTTTCCAAGTGTTAGAGAAAATTGTTTTGTGTCAACTGAAATATTTTATAGATGTAATGGCATCCTTGAGGTTTTTCAATCAGGATTTAAAACCCTTTATAGCACAGAATCTGCATTATTTTTATTCTGGTAACCACGTTGTTCTGGTCTTGCTTGACCTGACTGCTGCCTTTGACACAGTAGACGACAAAATTCTAATATCTCGATTAAATGATCTAGTGGGTATTGGTGGTACTGCACTTAATTGGATTAGTCTTATTTGGCAAATAGAATTTTCTCTGTCAGCTTCTCGGTTCCAAATCATCGTCTGCTTCTCTGTCGTGTGGCGTCCCACAGGTGTCAATTTTACGGCCACTGCTCTTTTTACTGTATATATTGCCTTAGGGTTTCATCCTTAAAAGGCATGGGATCTCTTTTCATTGTTCCACTGATGACTGTTAAAGCAGAAGGATGGCATCTCCATAAAACCTCTCTTGACATGTCTAGATGACATTAAAGCTTGGTTGGCTTTAAACTTCTTAAATTCTAATGATAAGAAAACAGGGGTGTTGGTGTTTTGAACTAGTGGTCCTTGTTGATTTGGGACTCCTGGATGTTTATGTTAAACCTGTTCTTACTGACCTTCGTTTTAAGTTGGACAGTGATTTTAAACTGGACAGCCAAGTTAGAGCCTGTGGTGAAGTCCAGTTTTTATCATTTAAGGTGACTGACAAGAGTGAAATCTTTTCTTTCTCTGCAGCACTTGGAAGGGTTTTACTTTTTTTCCTCAGTTAGTTATTATTACTCTCTTGCTCTCTAAACTAAACTGAAACGTAAGTGAAACTAAACTAAATTAAAAACAAACGAAGAAAATGAAAATGCAAAACTAGAGTAACTCTGCAGGATCCCCACCCAGAAGCTGACTAGTGTGAGTGGGCATCAAGGGGCAATGGAGCAGGCTGACTGTAGATGAGCAGCCTGAAGTTTAGTGTCGTGGAGAGTTAGCAAAACAAAAACACTGTTGCACTTTTAACCCCTGACTTTGACAGACGTCGTCTCTTTTGATGCGTGTCACATCAAATTGGTTTGATGTTTGGAGGTTTTCTCAGTGTTCATCAGTCACTCATCTGTGTGGCATGTATGTGGCACTGTGGCTTAGTTGGTTAAAGTGCCTGTCTAGTAAGTATTAAACTAGAAAACAGGAGATCCTGGGTTCAACTCCCAGCAGTGCCTAAAAGATATAAGTTTTGTCTGTTCTCAGTCATCCAGGGCCTGTTAGTCTACGGAGATTGGAAAGATGAGTGCCTGGATTCCTTTAAGTGCAATGTTAAAATAAGATCTTTAAAAAGCACAAAATGATTTAATATGAGCAGAGAGCACATCTTGTTGAGGGATTGGCTGTTAGTTCAGCGAGAGAGTTATTTGTAAAGAAAACTATTTTCATTACCAGTCAAAGCTAATGTGTACACTTATGTCTGCATTTTTGTTTTGTTAAATATGAACAAAAGAACAGAAAGTATAGACCCACGTGATGTGGATCGGCACGAGCACATCACGATAATCACTGGGTAACAGACGTCTCCGAAAACGTCAGAGCACTTTTGCAAATATGCGATGTCTTGATAAACCAAATAGATATTTGAAGTTTATACGGCTACTTTCTCGACTGAAAATATGTTAAAAGTTTATTTTGTGACACAGAAGCCGCCATTGTTGGAAACTGTTGCACTGAAATGTGAGATTTTAAAAAGGAGCTGTTTCCTGTGACTTGTTGGTTTTTAGCTCGTTTAGCTTCAGAGAAAAACTGGCAGGAAACAGAAAGACACAGCATTTTTCTCCTATATTGACTTTTCTCCACTGGATTCCTGTTAAATCTAGAATTGAACATAAAATACTATTTTTACTTTTAGCTTCTACTTTTTTACATCACACTGTGCACAATCTCTATGGAATTAATCCTAGAATAAAAACTAGAATCAAACACAGAAACCGATGACTTTCTGAGCTTTCAAAACAGTCTTTTATACACTCTTCTTCATTTTTTTTTACTCTGATGTGTGACTTTGGGAAAATGACACAATTAACTGTTTGGCTTGTTGGTCTAGTTTCAATGGGAGAAATGTCCCTGTCTCCCTTGAAGGGAGTCTTCTCTTCTCTTTGTCATCTCTTTTTCTTTATAAACTGGTGGTGTTGCCACAGTAGAGTGTCTCTCAGTTTGTGCGCTCATCTAAAGGTAAGCACCGAGCTAACTTTACTGTGAGTTCAGTTCATGTTGAGTTTAGCTCCTGAATGAGGTCTTCTGCTCTCCTCGGTGTCTGTTCACAGTTTATTGTGAACACGTTGAGAGAAGAGTGAGAGAGTGTTTGGAGAAAAACACCAACTAATCATTAGCTCAACACGCTGGGAGAAGTTGAGCGTTTGCTGGCAGAAAATTGGTGCAGAAAAGTATTTTCATCAGCCCTGCAGCTGTTTTTCTGCATGCACCAAACCTCTACAGCCTCATTTCTATTTGAAGTGATAACAGGAAATGGATCAGAGCAATCTGCTGCAGTATCAGGGTCACAATAAACTTTATTGTCCAGCTGCTGTGGATGAACACAAGTGTGGAATTCAATTGTTAATTAATGAATTGATTATATTCATATCTCTGATTCCCAATGAGGATAAGGACATAACAGGATGTGGGGAATGTAGACCAATGTGAAATTGAAAACTGAAAACTATTGTGCTGATGAAAAGAAGCATTTCAGTTGGTTAGTTTATGGTGTGAAACTGGAGCTTTGTGGTTTCAGTTGGTATCTAAACAAATGAAAGAAAAAAATCAAAGTTATACAATCTGTAAAGGAGAATTAATCTAATGTCTTCCTAGAGTTGTTATAGCACCACACAGGCTCATCTGGGATTCGAACCAGGGACCGCTCACACATGAAGCAAGAAACATTCCCTAGGAACAACAAGTAGGCCTGCAGAGCGAGAGCGAAGTGCTCTAATAGGGTGATATGGTACTACAAGGTCATTAAGATAAGATGGGGCCTGA